CCCCACACCCCCACCCCCACCCCCACCCCCCCACACACACACACGCACACACACACGCACACACACACGGAGAGTCTGGATGTTCTGTCTTCAATGTATGTGTGCCTGGTACCTGCAGAGGCTAGAAGAGAGCATCAGATCCCCTGAAACTGGAGTTGCAGATGATTGAGATTGCCACATGGGTGCTGGAAATTGAACCTGAGTCCTGTGCTAGAGCAGCCAGTGCTCTTAACCCCAGCCTGACTGAAGAAGATTCTTAAATTATTTTTTAAAGTGAGCATTCAGCGTGGAGGCTTTCATTACAGAGAACTATTTTATGGGTGGAATGAAAGAGTGTGTCTACAGCTCTTAAAGTAGCATTGCGTCTAAACACTAGTCCTACTGCTTACTGTTACCTTGTGACTAAGCGCTCTTTGTACTGTCATGCACAAAACTGAGTCACTCACAGAGCCCTCAGGGAAGGCACATAGAATCATCCCAGAAGGAATGAGACTGAAAGCTGAGCTGGAAAGCACGGAGCAGCCAAGTATGTGGCCAGTCCAGTCTCCAAGCTTCCAGGCAGCTGAAAAACAGACCTGTACAGAAGTATTCACAAAGGTCACAGGGAGAGAGAGGTGTGTGTGTGGGGGGAATCTCAGGCACCAAGTACTTAAAACAGTGTGTGGCGTAGGGTTTGCCTGGTGGATCTGAGTTAACTTTGTAAAGTTCTAAAAGTATGAAATGCAAGACGAGGGCTTGACTCTTTCCCAGAGCACACAATCATTTATCTGAAGAAAGGCTGCCAGTTTGAATCCATAACGCTGACTCAGAGAGGTGGTGTCTGAGTATTGGGTTCAGAGGTACAGGGACCACATTACAGGACTGTGATCACCTGGCCTCCTCAGATGTACTCTATCTTCTGTTGACTGTGGGTATGAGAGTTTAGGGTCTCTACTGGTTCATACAGCTAATAACAGAAAAATCTGGAAAATAAGAACTCCTAACTTTCATGCTATCCTTTGAGACTTTTTTTTAAAAATAAATTTTGATGAAGACAGATTCGCTTTTTAGTTTTGTGGGTACATGTATGTGTGCATGTGTCTGTGTGTCTGCCTCAGTGTGTGTGTATGTGTGTAGGTCAGAGAGTATCTTTCAGTAATTAATTCCTCTGCCCTGTTGAGGCAGGCTCTGCCTCATTTTTGCTGTTGAGTCGTGCCCTCCAGGCTAGTTTATCAGAGAGCCCTCCCAGTAGTGTTTTCTCATCTTTACTTCTCATCTCACTGTAAGAGCACTGGGGTTACGGATGTTCATCAAGACATCTGGCTTTGTATTCTCAATTAAAAATGTCGTTTATGTGTATGGGTGGTTTGCCTGCATGTATGTTTGTGTACCATTTGCATGCCCGGTGTTCATTGACTATAGAAGAAGGTGTCAGATCCCCTGGAACTGTAGTTGCAGATGGTTGTGGACCACCATGTGGGTATAGGGGACTGAATCCAGGTCCTCTGTGAGAGAAGCCAGTGCTCTTAACTACTGAGCCATTGGGTTCTAGACATCCAATTTAGGTTGTCATGCTTGCTCAGCAAGCATTTTCACTCACTGAGCAATCTCCCCAACTCTCATCTTTTTTTTTTTTTTACATTGACTTTTAGTGTCGTCTGAGAAACATTTGCACAATCAAAGGTCATGAATAGTTGTGTTTTCCTCTAAGAATGTTGTCACAAATGGAGGTTCTTTCCTTCTCCTATGTGAGGTTTTGGGATTGAATTCAGGCTTGGCAGCTAATGACTTTACTCATGGGGCCATTTTACTGGTTCCAAGTTAATTCTTCTAGATGTGGGCATGTAGTTTTCTAATTACCAGTTCTTGAAAAGACTATTTTCTTTCCTTAGTTGATTAACGTAGTTCTGTAACAGCTTTTTTTATTTTTCTTTTTTTTTGGGGGGGGCGGGGAGGGTTCGAGACAGGGTTTCTCTGTGGCTTTGGAGACTGTCCTGGAACTA